TTATTGTTGTTCTTTTTGTGATCGAATGACGCGTGGTCAGAAGTTTGGTCGACTGCTTCAATATTTAGAAAAATGCACAGAAAGTGAAGATTATTTTGATGTTCTGCATTCTGTGGTTAATCGAATCGAAGTGGTAAATCTTCATGGGAAGTTTTTCAAATTTAGTTGTTTTGTGTGATTTAGATGGATCTGTGCAGGATGTCGTTGGATTTTTATCCAAACGATTCTTTTAACGAGCGAGTACATGTTGTTGATAGCATGGCAAAGGAATATTTGGAAAAGGCAGCAATGAATGTTCGACATCTTATTCCAGCAAACGTTCCAGGTGATGATAATTGTCTCTATCACTCTGTTCTTCTCGTGATGAATAATTCTGTAATGACAACGAGCGAGTTAAGAGGTAGAATTAAGCTTTTAGAAATACATTGATTTGTAAAGAGCAATCGTTTTTTAATATTTAGTTCGCACGATTGTGGAATTGATAACGAATGAAACATACTATTCGAATATGTTCGCTTCGTGTATTGGTCCTTTGGATGAAGCTATTAAAGGTGTGTGCAAAAATTACACATATTCGGAATTATACGAAATTAGTGCTCTATGTATCGCAGTTGGCTGTAACATAAGAAGCATTTACCCTGAAATTGACTTTCGAATCGATATGACTATTATGAATAGTGTTTTTACGCCGATTTCACCGGTTATTGGAAAGTATGAAATCAAAATTTTGTGGTCAAGCCTCTGCAGTGAAAAGATTGTTCGGGCAATGAATAATAACAAATGGAGTCCTAATCATTTTGTTCCGTTAATGTCATCAAACATGCAGCATGAATATGTCGGTCGTAGTCAAGTACAATTAACTAACAAAGTGAGTGTCATTCTTATATACATGGATTTGAACTAAATTCTATTTTCTACAGACACCGGAAAAGAAAACAACGAAGAATACTATTAACACTCATGTACGAATTCCTGAATTTCAGTCTTCACCTAGTAGACGTTTACGCAGTGAAGCTAGCACAAATAGTGATCATGTTGAAATTATCAATACAAATGCGATGGAACAAATGGAAATAGAAAGAGAAGGACAGCATAAAACGCGACTTGCGACTTTAAGAGATCGTGCTCGTTCAAGACGAAATAGCGAAACAGATGCCCAGCGTCAAGATCGACTCAGGAAAGATCGGGAACGAGCTGAAGCTCGACGAGCTAGTGAAACACAGGATCAACATCGAGAACGACTGGAACAGCAGAAAGATTATGTCCGAACAAGTCGAATGAACGAATCAGAGGAAAAATATCAGATTCGGATCGATTGTCAGAGGGAACGAAGTCAAGCCCAGAGAACTGACAAAAAATTGGAAAAACGGGCACTTGACAATCTTATGACACATGAACAAGATACCGATGAACGTGGATTTGGAAATAGCAACTATAGCTATCCTGATGATAGTTCGATGAATGTAATTAGACGTAACTATAGTACCACAAATAGGAACGAAGGACATGATTCATCAACTTGGCCAACACCAATATCCGCTCAAGTGAAAGAAGAATGCTTAAAGCAATTTCTTCAACGAATGTCTACGAGCAGTCTTGCTGAAGTTACTTGTGCAATTTGTAATGTTCGTAGCTGGAAACATGAATGCAAAATAGTTCCAACTTCAACAATATCTTATAAGGATTTGCTCAAAGTATCTGATGAATTAAGAGATTTAATCACCAATATTCAACGACCAATTTTGAAATATTCTGATGGTAATATTTATTAGAGAATTTTCAACGCCTTTAAAAAGAAAAAAAACTCACAATTTCTGAAGACCTATCTATAAAAATTTTTAATGATTTTTAGAATCTTCAACGCAAAATTCATTGCCTTTTTATTTTAAGAATGAAATTATTCTTTATAAGAATGGTGTATTTCAAGATAACAACTTAATCATGTGTTCAATTTGCCACAATTGTTCTGAAGCTCTTTCTAAAGAGAAAACTTCAAAATTTTCAGCAGCAAACAACATGTGGTTAGGTAATATACCTATTGAGTTACAAGAGCTAACAATTCCCGAACAAAAGTGAATATCGTTACATCGTCATGATAGTTGTGTAATAAAACTCCAGTCACCTTTTCATACAGCGACAACTGCACAGGGAGCGTTGAAAGGCAACTGTATTACTTTTCTTCAAAATATCCCAAATATTGCTAACAGTTTACCACTGGCAATGGACGATTTATGCGACACGCTTAAAGTAATATTTATCGGTGCACGTCCTCCTCAGTGTATTCAACTTAAAAAGATCCTTACAGTCCGAAAGAAAAAGGTGGCGGAAGCTCTGCATTGGTTAAAAAAATACAATATACTTTATAAGGACGTCGACATAAATCAGGATAATATTATGAAACTACCAGAAGACGATATACCAGAATCGATCATGTCAACAATAGAACAAAAGATTGGTGACGAGGAGACACAGCTATCTGAAAGAGCTGGCTATATTCCAGATCCTTTACTACATTCAACAGAATCAGACACATCAGACAGTGTTCCTATGAACAATAGGTATATATAATTCTTTTTAAACTTTATAGAAATAACGATCTTTTCTCCTTAGTGCTGTTCTTGA